ATAATAAATTCGCTATACTAAATTTATACGTGATGCACGCGACATACATAATATACGCGATAAGTAAGAAACGTGAGAGAAATCGTAATGACTATCTTCAATAAAATGTATCATAAGTAGAGATAAATATTTATATATGAATAATCCTTTGGTACTTATGTACGTGAGAATCGTTCTGGCGAGGCAACATAGAATCATCGCACTTTGGCGAGCTTGGAACCCTTCGGAACCTCATATACCTTCGCGCATTGAAGGACTCGAAAGCTTTGGGAATCTCGCGATAAAATGGTGTGTGCCTTTTTCATTGCGAGCGTTGTGAGACTCCAGCCGAGATGAAAAGCATCGGATCGATTGATGATTAAAGACGTATTCATTAGAAGAAGCTCGGTTCCATAGCTTCCAATGAACTCTCGAGTAATAAGGATGCTATTTCTCTTCCTTTATTCCTTGTTTATTATCTAACATGACAGTAATATGCATCGTTAATAGAAATACTATTTACTTAGTCCTTAGAAGTAAAGTAATTCTACTTTACCTGTAATTCTTATATTTATATAACACTTGTATCCTTATTTCCTCTATAAACTATTTATCAGATAAACTATTCAATAGTATACATTTAACCTTAACCCTTTCGCTGCTACAGGTGACTATAGTTGCCGACCACAAAAATTGAGTCAAAAATTAAGACAAGTGCTACCATTCCGCTTAGTTCTCTTTGCAAAGAATTGCAAGCGCTATTGCGATGGTCGGTTTTTATTTTTTTTCCCTCTTCGAAAGACTTGACCCTAAATGTTAAAGAATCGTTGAAATCGTAATGTTTCCATCTTTGACACGATACTTCGTTCTAACAATAAGAAAGAGACTCCGTGGCGACGTCCACCGTAGCGAAAGAGTTAATTAAAGTTATATAGTTTTTGTTCTTTCAATTCTTTCTACTTTACGCCTCGTAAGTGCTTTGTCATTCGATAAATAATTGCACACTATTTTGATTTCATCTGGGTTCTCGGTTCCAACCCGGCAATTCCAAAGTAAGTACTCCTTGTAATGCTGCGCATGAAAAATAGATTTAAAGGGAGAGTCACAACGTAAAATATAAATAGTTTAATCAAATCTACCTACCTGAATTATTTAAAGTTCCGTTAAAACGTATATTTTTCTCTGGGCATGGAACGTGTTAAGCTCGAGGTGAATTGAAAGTTACTGTTTCCCACGATGGTTAGATATCCGCGTGCTGCCGACTAAACACGCAGCGGTGAGCTCCTTGCTGGTAATGTAATTGCAGTTGCACTGAGCTTATAAATACGGAGAAGTAAGTCTCTCATGCGTACTATGAGTTAACAATTACGCAGAGTCCTCTGGAGAGCATTGTCACGGCAGGGAATCTATGGATGAAAGTTTAACCGTGAGAAATCACGAGATTGCTTATTTTAAGATTACCATCGGGTTGCGTTAAGAACAAATTACTCGAATTTGCGCAAGGAAAATATCGGAGAAAGCGAGCACGGTCAGTTGCCTGTTGCACCTTGCTTGTTCTATCGTGTTTTTTTCTTCCTTCTTCTTTCTTTACTCTCTTTCTCATCGGCAAACAAATGATCCTTGGGATCGTCATTTTCCCAGCGAACTTTCTTAATTTGTATATCGAGGAAGTTCGTAACACGTCGCTTCCGCGATAAACTTTTGTGCACTAGCAGCAAACATGTGGCCTGTGTTTCCTTTGTTCTCATATCCTGCGTGCGAACTTTTATCGCGACTCTGAACGCTGAAAAATAAACGATATTAATTCGTGAGTAATAATTTATTTACGATAGATTATTTTTTGTTATTCTTATCTGTAGAGTATAAATATTTTTCATATTTAATTATCTTTAGATAATTTTTAATTTCGACGTAACGTCGAAATACTAAGAGATGTCGGTAATTTTTTATACGATATATTAACCGAAATCTATTATCGATGTAGGAATAAAAGATGGCACAGCTATCCTCCTTATGAAATGCGTCTTACATTTTAAATACATGCCCGATGTCCTACTTTCTCTTACTTCACTCGCTGTAATCCGCTTTCTGTGCATACTGATTACTCTTAAGAACGCACTTACCCTCTCACACACATGCACACACGTATAAGACATCGCCATTTAGTCACTTTAAAGCATACATATTTTTAGACTCTACGTTTTCGTGACACTTCACTCGCAATATTTCGCATTTAGCAGTAAGAAATGATTTATACGTATCACATATAACCTCTACAACAGCTTTCGAATGCTTCTCTTTGTTCGGATACTTTCCTTTGTCACCCAGCAAGCATAATTCTCACTCATAGCCGAGAAGACGTTTAATATGGTTAGTTTTAAACGAGTTTCGTAAAACGTCAGGAGGCTCGGTAATTTTCTCTTCCTTCTAGACTGTTTTAACATCATAAAACGAGAGTACCAATTCTACCCGCCTAGATGTCACTACAAAACTTTTCCCGACTTGATTTCGCGACGTATTTGATTTCTAATCGAACAAATCTTCTGTTTTACCGTCACTTTTGTTAGAAATCTTTTTTTTCACGTTTTCAATATGTATCTAAAAATCGTACATATTATTAGATTGAAATGCATTTTCGTGCTCCCTTCCTTTCCAATTGAAATTAACAACGACTTTGTCGGTAATGTAAAATGTGGTTAAGTTACTTCTTTTTACAGCCACGGTTCGTAAAACGCATAAGGTGGTCGTGTGCGATTTTATTAGTCTTCGAACTATCGTAAAGTGCAAAGACAATGTGTTTCTCAGCTATAATGTTTTTACGCATGTTCATGAAGCAGCAGAATTCTGAAATTACAGACGTTCCATATAAACTTGAATCTGTTGATACTCGTTAAACCTTAAGATGTTATTTCTTGTGTTCAACTTTCTTAACGATATGTAAACATAAACAATGCATGCCACGAGCTATTTTGTGGTTATGTTAGGTGAGTAAATCAACACATCGTTTTTGGATTTATCAATAGCTAGTAATATATACTTCAAATATATATTTCAAATTTATTCATTGGAATTAAATAAAGTTAAATATCGAGATTAACAAGTACTAACAATCTGAATTAATAAGTGGAAGTTTTATAAAATCCCATTTGACTTTGTGTAATTTCACGGGAGTCAGTTGCATAATGTAAGCTATTTTAATGGTCATATTAATATTACGCATTAATGTCTAATATCGATATTAATGTTAATAGAATTACATTTATGATATGATATTAATTTACATATTTAATATTATGTCTTTCTTTCTATCAGATTGTTGATATGAAATACTTGTTCAATTTATACGTATTACATTTAATATGGAAATCTCATGATTAAACAATTTACGAATGCAAATGTTTTTAGAAAAATACAACTTTAATTTCTGCGAATCAGGATAAAACTGAAGATGGATTTCAATTAGATTCTTCGAGGAAGATTAAACGAGTTCCTTCTTAGGAAAATTAATATCCTCTACGGAAGATCGTTCAGCGCTTTTTCTCGAATTTTGAACCGCTCAATACATTTACTTTCCCCGTGGAAGTGAATGAACTTTTGAAGGGTTAGAGATCGAAAGGGTTACGCATTCCTCTCGAGGGAGCTTTTCAGGTGGTATTTTTAATTTAGAATCTACTTATTCAAACTGTACAACGTAACTTTTAATTTAAACGTAACATTTCGGTCGATTAAATTTTTCTATTTCATTCCGATTTTGTAATTTGATATTGATATATTATTACAATATTTCGTCGTAATATTATCTCTGTATTTGTTGTACGTAAATGAGCAATTTATATATCGTGTTATTCACTTTTCGAACATATGCATCAGATATTTTAGCTTAAAAATACAGAAATAATTTATAAAAATTAATAATAATTTTACAATGTCGTGTTTTTTCTCTTTTTGTATATGATAAATAATAAGTTGCCTTTTAGTAAAAAATATTATTCTTTTCTTTTTTCGTCGCGTTAAATTTCTGGTTTTACTACTTGAAATACAACTTCATACTGACATGGAATTATCTGAGTAATTTATGTACAAAATATATGTATTTTCTGGTTAAAATTGTCAAATTTTGGAATTTAAATTAATTAAATTTTGCAGTGACATGGAAAGGCGAGAATTTTTTATTTAATATTTATTTTTATTTGCATTATATAATATTATCTATCGTGACATATCATTATTATTAAATATTATTGTTAGGAGGAAATTGTTTACGTATTTCAAAGTTTAAATAAATAGTAGTACCTTTGTAAAATAAACAAGATGACATTTAAATCATGTCTCTGCATATAAAGCAACAAACACAGAGATAGTACTGCATCCGAATATTAATATGAATAATTTACATAATTTTTATTCGTTAATCTGTTAGTTTGACAAAAGAATAATGCATGGTCGTTTCTTCCAGATTCTTCTCATTCAAATCAGATCCTTCCTTCATGAATGACATACGTTGAATAAATTTGACAGGCAAATGCACGTGAAAGGTATCTTCGAAATTCAATAATCTTCGAATCGATCCATCGTATATGCATCAATATTTGTTCGAATGTCTTGGAACAGTGATTTTTGGTTGGATGACTACGTTGCACCACTTCGATAGCTCTCTCTAGCCCGCGTTTCGATTTTCCAACGAAATACAATCGACTAGTTCGGTTTGTCTATGATTTCAATCGGCTATAGTACTCTTTCACTCATAGTTTTCAAATGAAAAGGAGAATTCTATCTCGAAACATTTTTGTTACAGAATAGTAGGAATATTTGGCTCTTTCTTCCTTTTAATGTTAAACTTTTAGATCATTTTTACAAATTCTTTAAAAAAATCTTTATATGGATAAACAATAAATAAATTAAGTTAGCAAGTAGAACAAAATGTATCAAAAGTTTCATATAAACATAATCTAATATAATGGACGGACGGTATAAGTCGCTGAGTCTATATACAAGGCATTTTCTCTAACATTATGAATTCGTTATATTGCATGTTCTTTAATCCAGTTAAGGTATGAGCTAACTCGCGTGTATACGGATGGATATACGATATTAGCACAATCCATCGACCAAGACACGATACCATGGAGTTTTCCATTTACCATTAAAGGGCCGCCAGAGTCACCCTAAAATAATTAAATTGTAATTACGTTAAATATTATTATACTATATTATACTAAACAAAAATTAACTATTAATTTATAGATTGGAGAATTTACATTGCAATGCCCCTTGATAACGACAGGATCGTATGCACAGAGCTGGCTGTCATGGATGACGTTTTTATACATTCTATTGCAATAAGCTTGGTCTGCAACTTCGATATTCACCCAGTGCAGAAGATTTGTCTTTTCACCTTCGTACTATAAACAGTAATATATTCATTAATAATATTTCTACAATATTCTGATTAGTATCAACAGAGTTTCTCAATGTTGATTTAAATGTTTTCAATCAAATTTAGCAATTACCGTGAGGGTTCCAAAACCAGATACTATGGCTGAGTCGTTAGCTATGACGACTTCCCCAGCAGTCGGCATAGGGACAAAAGACATTAGAAAGGATTGTACAAAACGATTTTGGACCTGTGCAAATTTTTCTGATTGTTTATGATGGTTTGTATCTTCTGTATTTGTTTTATATTTTTCTGATATTTCGAGCTAAAATATTTGCACATACGTATGTAAATGTAACGATAAAACGACATACCTTGACTAAGGCGATGTCGTTAACCCACGCATCCGTGCTGTTGTATCTTTCATGAACGTGAATCTTCTCAATGGGATGTTTCGAAATTGGCATTCGTACATCAACCGTGCCAGCAACGACAGTCACCATTTGTAGTGGTATACTGTGCAGTAGTAAAATCATTCTTAAATCAAGAATTTTCTTTCACTTATCTGTGAAATTTTCGTGTATTTTATATGATGTAATTTGATGGATTTCATTTATTAAATTCTGTGTATTCTATATGAAGCTAATTTAGTGACTGCTTAAACAGTAACAAATGATTGAAGATACTTCAATTTCAAGTTACATTCCACATTTTTTTCTAATTTATAACGAATAAATTATTTGTCCAAAATAATGAAGTTACGTCAATATATATTCTTCTAAATATTTTCAATTTCTTTTCACTGAAGTTTCTTTTAATAATTGAGAAAAAGGTAAAATAAATTAATTCGTTTCTCTTACTCTTTAACGCAGTGAGCAGCTGTTATAACGTAGTCTTCGTTGAGGATGGATCCACCACAAAAATGGTACCTAATTTTTGCTATTTGGAGGGAGACCTAATTACAGTTGAAATCATTTCAAAGACTTATTTCCCCCTCGAATAATTCAAGGAAATATTTCTCAGAAGAGAAACTGGAACGTTTTGAATATACCTGATAAGGAATTTCACCTGGCTTTGCCACTATTCCGCCTACAATCATTGGCACGGGTCCAGCTACGGTAATGGCAATAATGATAATTAACATAAAGGTAGAGATTGCGTTATTTGAAAACAAAATAAAATTGAGAATTATATTATAAATAATAGTACATTGACTTAAGTACTGTTGTGATTGTACTTACCATTAACTAAAGCGATTAGGGGTAAAAAAAAGAGAGTTGTTAACATTGTCATCTTGTCAGGATCCTCAGGATGTTTAAATATTTCTGTTAAGTTTAAGTCACCTTACCAGATTTATATACTTGTTTTATTTTTACAGATTAGATAAAATTGCATGTTGTAATTATTTTAAGATAGTGGTTGTCACATGAACTGTTGTTTCTACAGAAATTAGATTACATTAACATGCTTCATCAGAATTCCAGAAATGAAAATAATCATATTCCTGAGATTCGATACACTTCTGTCATTCTTCTTGATAATTGAGAGCTGAAATGAAATGTATCTTGCCACTCGACGATTTTGTTTTATGAACATGGATAAAATCTTATCGTATCGATGAAACATATTGGTTGTGATACAAAGCAGATTTCTGGGTATAAACAGCGTTGTCAGATTACTAATATTTTTTATTTTTTCTTGATTTGTATTCAGGAGACACGTTAAATCGCGTGTATATAGAGAAGAAAAGTCGAGAAGGTAGTAAAACAGATCCACAGCAGAGCGATCGTTTCCTTTTCCGCAGAAACGAAGAAGATACGCTTATCGTTGATTTTCGAGCTTTCACGGTTCAACTGCTTACAGCAGATACCGTCACAAGCTTCTGGATGTAAGTCATATCTTTTGAAAAAGTATCTTGACGTTTTTCATCTAGTTTCATCGAGGATTTCATGCTCCATTCATGACTTCTGTACCACGTTGAACGATTTGAATACAGAAATTTAAATTCTCATTCTATGTTTAAGCTTACTATGCAGAATTTTAATGAGCACCTTTTATATTCTTTCGGATTTTTATAATCATTTCGACTTCTTAAAGATTAAAATTAAATGCATTTCTAAACTCAATTAAAATTAAATAAATGACTTAATTTTTTTTTTTTTCTTTTTTAGTGTACGATAAAATTGAAACATTTGGAAATTCATTGAAACTTGATCTATAGTAATGTAAAATTTAAACTTCAAGAAGGATGTTAGAAATTGGCAAATTATATACTTGGTAGGTAACGAAAAATTGTTATTTTTTTAATTTTTTAATATAATTTTTTAGTAAATTAATAATTATTAAATTAATATTTTTATTTTTTAATTTCAAGGTGCCTTTCTACAAATAATAAGAAGTACAAAACTTAGCATTATTTATCTTGGAAATGATGGGAAGATAAAACAAATTCACATAAATTCAGAGTGTCGTCATAATCGATAAATTTCATTCTTATTTTTTGAAATGATAATCTGTTGAGAAAATAATCATTCAAGAATTCAGCAGATAAGTTCGTCACATTATCAGTGCGAAACATATACGAAATTGCTGTTACGTGGTAGAAACGAGTCACTGTTCGGATTAAATTACTCGTATCGTTTACGCTTTATCGAAACATATTGGCAAAAGTTTAACGCAAGCCAAACCTAGACACTAGTCAGTGGCACTGACAAAGAGTATTAACGTGTTCTCAAATCCTTCGTCAAACTAGCTACAACCCAACGCGAAGCATCAAAACACTTTTAAGGAAGGACACGGATTACGTCTGAAAGTTGAACCGGAATCCAACATACACAGCATGCATAGAACATTAGTATGCTAGAACACTTTTGACATTGTTGGCTACTGAGTTTACGACCCGTCGCAACATTTTAACCCTGCTGCATTGCTCGCTTACATTACACCTCTGTATCTCTTCGAGTCTAGTGACTCCATGAACAACGGTATAACATCTCAAGGATACTATAAATTATGAAGTATTATCAAGTTTAAATACGTCAAATATTTATGGAAACGTAATCTTCGTTTGATCTGGAGAGAAGAGTAAAGTTGCGGACAATATAAATTGTTCTTAGAACTCGTAATAAATTTGAAGAGAGAAGATCTAATAACACGTTAACGATCGTTGACATCTTATTACGTATCTCCATGGCTATAGTGAGCCCAGAGCAGCCAATGTAAAAGTATAAATGTATACCCGTAATTGTCTCTTGGTCTAACAAGGAGAGTGCAAACCCTTCGGGTCACTGATTTAGTTGAAACTTTGCAGGTTTGTAGATATCGTCAAGCAATTTAAGAAAATATATCATTGTAGCTGCAATTATTCAATAGTTTTTGAGATATTTACGATTAAAGTTTTATTACTTCTGTAATTATAGATTTATTTTCAATAACTTTCAAGTGGAGTCGTGGCCTATCGGTGACAGCTGAGAATTCTTATGCTGAAAGACCGGGGTTAGATTCTCGTCCTATACTTGGTAGATTTGCCAATCTATTTTTTATTTTATGTTCATTTTTCGTCTATGAAAACATTGTAAATAACAATTGTAAATCAAATTTCTTAATAAAAAAAATTATTTTTTGCTCTTTCTTATGCAAGTATATATTTATTACAAAACCTATCGCACATATAAGTATTAATTATTAAATTAAACATTGTATAAGAATTTTGAATATCATTTCAACTTTGCTGTGTAGTTATAAATGTTCACGAATTAAATACAGAAATTTGGAAATTTATTAATTTTCTACTGCCGAATAAATACAAATATTACCGCCTATGATCAGCGCCATCTATGATTTTGGACCATATGATCGGAAAAGCAATAGGAATATAGAATAGGCAAGGAGGTCGTCGAGGAGCTGGTCACGTGACAGACTAGGATAGAGAGGGGATAGAAAAGAATAGAATGGCTCCGGAAGTGGAAAATTATTAATTACTCAATTTCTGTAATTAATTTATGAACTTTTATAATTTCGCTGCAAAGCTGGAACTTCAGGCTACATTCTTATATAATATTCGTAAAGAATTTAGCTCTAAATTGTTAGTTATTAATTTTTGTTTAATGGCGTCTATGATTTCGTAACGACGGCCATCACGATCTTGCGTGAAAATATATAATACTAAACGAAACTAGAAGCAAAATGTGAACAAAAGTTATATGAGAAGATTCGCAAGGACATTGTTTTTATAATGAGTGCTTAAAGTTTCATAAATTAATTGCGTAAAGGATAGCAATTAATGAAGAACTAATGGCGTCTTCGACGATCTTCGACAACAATTCAAACACTGCGCAGAACAATTATTAATAATTAATTAATTAGGGACAAATTTATATCGAAAAATATATTGGAAAGTTCCTGAAGGATCTGGCTTTACGATGCAATTATAAAAGTTCATAAATTAATCACAGATATTGAGTAATTAGTGAATTTTCCACTGCCGATTTGATTTATTAAAATATATTCGGAGCACATAACCAGAGTTAGTAAACTGACATCAGAGCCATCTATGTTCTCGTTGCGGAACCCGAGCTTCGAGTCTAAAATCATAGATGGCTCTGATATCAGTTTACTAACTCTGGTTATGTGCTCCGAATATATTATAATAAATCAAATCGGCAGTGGAAAATTCACTAATTACTCAATATCTGTGATTAATTTATGAACTTTTATAATTGCATCGTAAAGCCAGATCCTTCAGGAACTTTCCAATATATTTTTCGATATAAATTTGTCCCTAATTAATTAATTATTAATAATTGTTCTGCGCAGTGTTTGAATTGTTGTCGAAGATCGTCGAAGACGCCATTAGTTCTTCATTAATTGCTATCCTTTACGCAATTAATTTATGAAACTTTAAGCACTCATTATAAAAACAATGTCCTTGCGAATCTTCTCATATAACTTTTGTTCACATTTTGCTTCTAGTTTCGTTTAGTATTAAATATTTTCACGAAAGATCGTGATGGTCGTTGTTACGAAATCATAGACGCCATTAAACAAAAATTAATAACTAACAATTTAGAGCTAAATTCTTTACAAATATTATATAAGAATGTAGCCTGAAGTTCCAGCTTTGCAGCGAAATTATAAAAGTTCATAAATTAATTACAGAAATTGAGTAATTAATAATTTTCCACTTCCGGAGCCATTCTATTCTTTTCTATCCCCTCTCTATCCTAGTCTGTCACGTGACCAGCTCCTCGACGACCTCCTTGCCTATTCTATATTCCTATTGCTTTTCCGATCATATGGTCCAAAATCATAGATGGCGCTGATCATAGGCGGTAATATTTGTATTTATTCGGCAGTAGAAAATTAATAAATTTCCAAACTTCTGTAATTAATTCGTGAACATTTATATCCTCAGAGCAAAGTTGGAATTATAAGCAACATTCTTATACGATGTTTAATTTAATAATTAGTTAGTAGTATTATTAAATAAGATTGCTATAGAAAACTGTTTTTCTTGAATAATATTCTTATTACTTGTAATAAATATATACTTGCATAAGAAAGGGTAAAAAAATTAATTTTTTTAAGAAATTTTATTTATAATTATTTATTTATAATGTTTTCACAGACGGAAAATGAACACAAAATAAAAAATAGATTGAAAAAATGATTAAACTCTGGCCGAGAATCGAACCCCGGTCCTTCAGCATAACAATCTTTGACTATTAACATCAGTCTACAACTTTGCTTGTGAAATAATGTAAATAAATGTATAATTATTGAAGTAATAAGACTTTAATCATAAATATCTCAAAAACTATTGAACATTTACCGCTGTAATGATATCTTTTCTTAAACTGCATGACGATATCTACAAACCTGCAAAGTTTCAACTAAATCGGTGACCCGAAGGACTTGCACTCTCCTTGTAAGCTAGAGAGACCTCAGGACCACCTCGTTTATGGTAACCAGTTAAGTGTCAAAGCTCAGGAAAGCCTAGAATATTCCGCAAATGTGTCGACCACAGCAGCGTTAAGGTCGATGTCACTATGAAGGTGACTCACTGGACACGATATCTGGATATCTGGATAGTTCAATACCTAGTAGAACTGAGGTCAGCGATCCAGAGTATCAAGTTCTATGACATGGGGATAGTCACCCTGATCAGAAATAGAGGAAAACCTATATTGCAAGATATAGATAAAATGACAGTAGATTTTTCTATCTTCCTTTAAGTTAAAAATTCTTACTGTCACTTCTCGAATTTTTCAATCTACAAATATCATGAATGACAAATTTTTACATCATTAACTTTATTCTCGTGTTGTCTTTGTATACTGACATT